GGATCCGCGCGGATATATGACGTCAGGATGGCGCAATTTGTTCTAAAAATAGAAAAATTGTCCCATATCATAGGTGCGCGCGGATCCCCAGACTTGCGGTCTCCGTCCCCGATTATGGCTCCTGGCCATATATAAGAGCCCTGATTTCGCGCTCGCGGCTGCGCCGCGCGCTTGTGCTCCAACGTGAGCCTGCTCGCAGGCTAGGTATCAACAGAAAAAAAATATGGCGGCAATATTATATCAGTCAATGTTGCGATGTTTCCACAACATTTTCCGTCCCCTTATTAACAAATAGTTTATGGGCTCGATGTTGACAACTGTATCTTTGCGAGTGAAAAGAACAGAAGAATTCCCTGTGAGGCCCTCAAGTTTCTTCTCATGTGCCTTGACAAATTCGGTGACTTTTCGCTCAATATTGTTTTGCGTGACTTTCTTGAGGATGACAAGTCAATGCTGTTCAAAACCTTATCATGATCAATGTAAACACAATGCAAGCGTTACACTTTCGGTCGCGTCATTACGAATGCAATTCAATCTGGCCTAATGCCCTGATTTGACCCATGGTGGAAAATATACAGTGAGATATTGATCAAAGACCTAACAATTAATTTTTGTGAATCATACCTGTACGCTTATTCGCCGAAAATGGGCTTTAGAGGTTAGTTTTTAACCACCCATTGTCATCTTCAGATTTTTCTGCGTGACTGAAACCCGTCACTTCAATGTTTCTTTTTATTTGTTGTCAAATTCAATTTAAACGCAAGCGAGTTACGTGAACCGAAGGCTCAGACATTAACAAAATAAAATGCTAAAAACAGCCTGTAACAAATAGCTTCAAATGCTTGAGTCTCCAAGGTCTGCATCCCACTCACCCGCAAGTTGCTGAACCACATCATAAATCTATCTACCTATCTATCTTCACAGGAATCTTACATTAGGAACGCAAAGAATGGTTACACAGGAATGTCTTACACATGAATGTCCGATTCACCTAATATCCTCGTATGCACGTGACGTTTGTTACGTTGACAAGAGGCAAAAAGTTGCCCCAAATCCGAAAAGTTGTCCAAAAGTTACAGGTAGAGGTGAACTATAATGGCTGGTAGTCTACGAGTCGCTAGGCCAATCAGAATGCAGCATTTGCATTAGTAAACTGTCTAATGTATACTTTTTTGTTGCAGGTCGTACCACGCTTTGTCTTTTTTCCGCTTATTGCATCTCCAAATATGGTGTAGAAGCCTTTTCAGATGCCCTCAGACGTGAAATGAGCCCGTGGGGAGTGTTGGTCAGCGTGTTAGAACCTGGGTTGTTTCAAACTAGCATAGGAGACCAACTAACTGACTCAGTAACACAGTTTTGGAGTAATCTGACACCCGAGGTGAAAGAAGATTATGAAGATAAACGTATTGGCGGAAGTAAGTCTTGAATGTTATTGCAGGGTCACGTATTCCCTCAAGGTGTGAACGGCGGATCAACGTTTGTCCACTGCTAGACTGCTGGCAGTCTGTTTTTCTCTCAAAATTTAGTAGGGGTTATAAGGCCAAAAATCCTCCACCCTATCCTCGATGAAGCTGTTTGTAGACTTTGTAGTGATTAGTACTGAGACACTGATGAGAAAACGTCTGTTTTTCCCTGATACTTAATAGTTGCCATGGCAAAAGGAATGCAGCTCTCGATAGAAAAAGGTTCGTCACCGGACACTTACAAAGTTGTGGACGCGATCGTGGCTGCTCTGACGTCACAGCGACCCCAGACACGTTATGTGGTTGGCCTGGATGGAAAATTAATGGTGTTCCTGTCATATTTACCAACGTTTATTGCTGATTACGTTTTACGTGTGAAACAGCACAAGTAATTTAACCCAGGGTAGGGAGAACTGCCGTCTAAAGAACGGGGGTGCTAGACAAACCTTTTAAGAGTTGAAAACATGGGTTTGGTATCTCTTAGGGTATTCAACCTCAAAAGGTCCACAGCGGGAGTTTTTCGGTACCTTTTAGCCTTGCATACGGCGGCTGCGCCCGCAGTACGAACGGTATGCAGTCAAAAGTCAAAACTGAGCTGTCCTACTGAAACGACTCGATAATAGTCGTTTTTCGCAGCTAACATAAATAAAGACAACGCTAAAGTTTCTTCAGCCTCTTCTAATAGTTATCTTGAGAATTCCAGGTTTAATTTGACGAGGAACAGCATATTTAGTTCAGAATAATACAACTAATATCTTACCTGGCGACACTCAACGAACTACGGGCGAGTTCCCAGCGAGTTGCCGGAGCCAATTAGACGCTTGGAGAAACAAAATGTTTCTATTTTTTCACTTTTTGCTGTCTGATGTGGTTTTTGAAATTGTAAATCCCATTTCGTGAATACTTAATGCCATCTTCAGCGAGAAAAGTTGACTGATGGTTAACATACATTGACTTCAGGACAGTAACGTTTTTTTCCGCCTGCTGAATCCTGATTAGTCAATTCAAATTTCAGTCGCGACAGCCGTATGCAAGGAGAGTATTGAGTTTAAAAAGTACGACAGGAGATAATGTGCTTTTTTCAGAATTGTCACCTCTTAGGGGTGAAAAACATTTCAAGCCACGCCCACAAAACAGGATGTCGGTACCTTAGGACTCTTAGGGGTTTTTTTTTAATTTCCGACGAGCACCCACTTCCTTTTTATATGGGAGTTCCTTCCCCCCCCCCCCCCCCCCCATCCCAGTTTTTTTACTGATTACATTTTACAAGTGAAATAATAGGAAAAGTAATTTAACTCCGTAGAGATCGATTCAATTTGCTTTCTCTTGCGAGTCTAGTGCACTGCTTGTCAAACGGCTAAACTTTGCACTGACAACTCCGCAAAAACACGAAATCATTTTGACCACCCTTGTCATATGTATTACATGAAACATGTCCGTTTCAAATATCACGAGGTGGCTTAAAGGCCTTTTGATTAATAGCCAGTTATACTCGAGCTAAGACCACCATTGTTACAACAACGACTGGGATTCCCCTTTGGCCCCTATTTTTCATTTTTAATTTGTATAAACAAATATTTTGCGGGAAACCAAGAGACCCCTGTGCTAATTACAGTTCTAAAATTAGAGATGATACGGGGGATAGTTGACGTCAGGTTATAGTGCGTTTGGACGCGCCGGGTGATAGACTCCTAGTAATGAAAAGGTGACAAATTACCCCCAAACACCTCCTTGAAGTTCAATCGCGTCCTACGTACTGTTTTTACATCATGATTAAAATATAAAAGGGATTTACTCTGTACGAGGAAAACCATATATTTACCTACAAACACAGCATCAAGCTTTTGACTATGGTAGCTCAGACATCCTTATTATGACCATGTAATCTACTGATGTTGTATAATTAAAGTTTTTAGGACCTCTAATATTGGTCTTTATTTGCTATTTTCTGGACATAAGAATTACTCCTCTCAATGCATGTCTGCATTATAACACAATATGAAATCTTATTATCCAACTGCAGCGAATACCGTCCAAATAACAGTACAAATATACAACGATATTGTACAGATATTTGTACAGTAGAAAACCTGTCGAGGAAAAGGTTGTTGTTATTCATCGTGGTAGATGCAATAATAAAGTGTATTATCTCAATAAACTTGACCTCATTCCAGATAGGATAGAGGCCCGTCTCGTGGGTGTGTTCAGAAACGGCGGAGGTCTGGGTACGGACGAGTCGTATATCTCTCTCGTGTTCTTTGATCCTCTGCTGCATAGATCTCCCTGTTTCCCCAATGTAGACTTTGCCGCACTCACAGGGAATCCTGTAGACATTTGAAATTCCTCAAGCATGGATGCCCCCGATCAAAATACACAACAGCAGGAGAACGGTACAACAGCGGACCACTGAGGGAACAGCTACTCGCCGGAACAATGGAACAATAGGAGGATCGAAATGCACCAATCACAGCCGACCTTTGTGATATAAATGNTAAGCAGTCGAAACGTCGCGATCTACATCTCAAGTGACTACATCGTGAGACAAACGATAATACACTTCATATTGCATCTACCATGATGAATAACAATAACCTTTTCCTCGACATTCTAGCCATTGTTTGGTTAATTATCTTTCGAGTCATTTCGACTTTGAGTATCTGTCACAAGACTTTAAATAGTCAGGAAAATCAGTCCATAGACGCTCAAGATCCCGGAGTGACGCACACGAGTTCTGTTTACATAACCAGATGTTCTTTTATAAACAATCTCAGCTCTTACACATTCTGATCACGTTTTCGTTATTTTTCGTGCAGCCTTCACAACCTTCCGTGTGTCTTCCTACGATTTTGTTGGCCGCGACACCAAAATCCCCCTAATTAGCGCTCAATTTTACTAATTTTCCAGGAAATAGTACTTTAAAAATAAGAATTGTGTTCACTGTTCATCTTGAATCCACCTGGCGGTTGTAAAGTAAAGAAAAATGACTTAAAACTGCATTGTAAAAATCTGAAATGTTATAAGGCTCTCAAAAATATAGCTGGCTTAAATTTTGAATTCAAATACGTTGAACGTGAGTTGATTCGCTTCGCTATGATCAGCTCAGACTCATATCTGCTAACGCAGTCAGTTATAAGCTTTCTATTGGCCACACCAGCAGTCCTTTCAAATGTGCTTTTGCTCGTTTCAATCTACCGTCGGCGATCTCCGGGAAATCGGAATCAGTTATCGTTGAAGCCGGTCACTTTATTGGTGGTCAACTTGAGCGTGTGCGACTTGCTGTCAGCCATTGTACCTGGTTACGTAAGTTGTGCCTATGGCTTCTACCGTATACACATCCGAAGTAAAATCCGGGCAGTAGAACTGCTGATAATCATTGTCGCTGTTGTAACGAATATCGTGTCTTCCTGCACCATATCTGCAATGAGTTTTAACTGTTGGCTTGGAGTTTCTTCTCCATTCCAACACAGAGCACGCTTGACCAAAGCAAAGATCAAGGTATTCATTGCTGTGGTTTGGTTTTACTCGCTACTCTTTGTGAGTCTGTTTGGAGCGGGAGTATCAAAGGCTGTCTTTGTTCTTCTATACTGTCACATCCACGTGTCGCTACCCCTGATCATCCTGCCTGTAGTCTACTGCAAAACCTACGCTGCGCTTCGCTTGCAAGGAAATCAGGTAGTGAACTTGGCTGACGGAAGGCAAAGAATGGCGTTTGCTCACAGGAACAGACAGCGCAAATTACTCTCCGCTTTCCTTTTGATTCTCGTTTTGTTTTACGTATCTTTCACACCGCATTTTATTGCTAACAACATTTTCGCCATTAGACCGTCTTTGTCAGAGACGGGGGGCTTCAAATTTCTTCAGTATGTTTCTAACACGTTCACTTTAGTGAACAGTAGTGTAAATCCGTATATCTACTCCTGGAGAATTCCAGAGTACAGGGAGGCCTTCAAGGCGGTTTTCCGTGGGTCGGTCTGCCGAATAAAACGACGAATCGGTATGACATCTGATCGGGTTAATATTGCCTCAGGACACCTAGGACAACGATGTTATTTCATAAACGTGCATGGAACACAGTTTACGTCCAGACTCACTGCTGTAAGTCACTGACTCCCGTAATTAACGCAGAGAAGAGTTCCTTCAGAGTAAACAATTTTTTTATTCGCACTCCGGCGCTGGGTAGCATTGTCAATTGAGAGAACTGAAACACTGTCCTGAGCTCTAAAACTTGAACTTATTTGCTCTGTTTGACAAAAAATTAAATCTAAGTACATAACATATCTTAATTTCATATGATTCTTATTAGTGATGTGGCTTGCGTTGCTTAAGTGTTTTAATTTATTTGTTCATATGTTTAGCTTGTTTGGTTAGTTATGTAAGTTGTGTTTAATAAATGTACCTTATACTAAAACTTCCACGAAGGCTTTTCGATACACGATTCTCCAATGAGGCGAACATACTAATTTGAATACATTGTAGCGAAAAGCAAATTACAGTTTTGTACAGAAGGTTATCAAACAGCGGCTCACACGTGGAATGAATTCAGCTTAATAACGGTTTAATTACTGTAACGGTCAGATAATTATCAGATGAAATGCGTTATAAACCTCTCATTTTTTTTCCAAGTCTGTGTCACAACCGCCCTCCAGGGGCTGTTATAAACACGGGCTAATTTTTCCGTTAATATTTGTTTCGTGTTGTGAAAAGCGTAATCACACTTAAGATTAAAAATAACTTATGCGAAAGAGTGTTGTAACAAGTACTTTTCCGCATTACCGGCGGAAAGAAATAACAATAGTTTCAATAGGTTATCTGCTGTTTTTAAAATACGTTATTGAATGGCAAAGTTAATATAGATCTTTTATCATCTGAATTCAACGATGTGTTCTTGTGTAGAAGTCAAGGAAGCGATTAGCTCCAATTAACTCAGAGGAAATCATTAAAGTTACATTTTTGTCAGCGACTGTCACTTGGTTCATTGACAAATTATTCGGTTTGAGGGTGATAACTGGTATGGTAATTACGTTGAATTTTCGGAGGCCCGCACAACGTACAAAGTATACACATGTACCACTTCTGACACACTCAAATTCACGGTCGCAAAAGCGTACATCCTTGGCTGAAAAATAAATGTTATTTGTCACCGGGGGGG